TATGCATGTGTATGTCTATGTATTTTAGGGTTGGCTGAAAATACTAAACGTGTTTTAGAATGTCTAAAAAGATTCACATCAAATTGTTTTGTTGAGACAGGGTCTCACTTGGTCGCCCAAGTTGGAGTGCAGTGGCAAGATCACAGCTCACTGCAGCCTCAACCTCCTTGGCTCAAGTGATCCTCCTCCCTAGCCTCTCAAGCAGCTGGGACTACAGGCATGCACCAGTACACCCAGCTAATTTTTGTACTTTCATTAGAGATGAGGTTTCACCATGTTTCCCAGGCTGTACCTGAACTCCTGCACTCAAGCAGTCCACCCACCTTTACCTCTCAAAGTGCTGGGATTACTAGCCCACATCAGATTGTTAATGGTCAGGGATTGTTGAATGTGCTTTTGACATTTTATTATATATACTTTCACATTAGTTAAATTTTTTATAGTGAGATTACTTAGGTATTGGATAACTTTTTAAAAATCCATGTGAAATTAAATAAGACCAAGGTGGGGATGCTTCTACTTTATTAGCATACTAAAATATAATTTGTCAGCAGTGATATATGTTTGAACATAAAATTGGGTCAAATAAGAATAAAAAACGTATGGAAAAAAACTCAATGTCCTGATTTCAGCCTGTCAGTTTTAGGCTGAAAAACATTCCATGAGAATTTCTAAAAAGTAGGCAGAAGGCACCTGCTCATTTGCATCTACCTACAAAGGTAATGACATCTCCATAAACACTTATTCTTAAATTCACAGAGTGGAGTTCTTATCTGTCTCCAGAGGCAGCCTTTGCCAAAGAACCAAGTAGCAGGAGAAAGAACTACAGACTCCTGGGTTCACTGCACTTCACTCGAGCCCTTGACCTGCTCCAATGATATTCACAACAGGCAGGACTATGATCCCTATAAAAGCGTCCTCAGTCCCCTCTGCTTTAGCTCAGGCATGTGCTAGTCTCATCTTCCTTCTGCCATGTTCTCTTAAGAAAAAGAAAAGCACACACCATAAAACATCAAAATAATGCAACACAACAGGGAAAATATAACTGTTTTAAGCATAACTGATTTAAAACTTTGTTAAAAATAAGAATTTATACCAAAATACAACATTTATGTCCAGACATCACTCCATAAGTAATCAAAAGACAGTGACAGTCACTATACAGAAGGAAATAAAATGCATCATAATATGGTAAAATGGAAATTTTTAAGAAGTTTTAAATATAGGGTTGTCACAGGTCATATCTGAAAAGGAGACAGATCATAAAATAAGATAAAATTTATTTAATTTTTATTTATTTATTTATTTATTTTGAGAGAGTCTTGCTCTGTCACCCAGGCTGGACTACAGTGCCATGATCTCCTCTTACTGCAACCTCCGCCTCCCAGGTTCAAGCAGTTGTCCTGCCTAAGACTCCCAAGTAGCTGGGATTACAGGTGGCCGCCACCACACCCAGCTAATTTTTGTGTTTTTAGTAGAAACGGGGTTTCACTATGTTGGCCAGGCTGGTCTCAAACTCCTGACCTGGTGATCTGTCCACCTCAGCCTCCGACAGTGCTGTTATTACAGGTGTGAGCCATGACATACCTTGCAAACACAACAAGTCCAAATGACAGTATCCAGCATTAACTAGGATATGGGGAATGGGCACACTATGCACTCCTGGATGCAGTACAAGTATTGGAAACTTATTGGGGATTCGTCTACCCCAGTTTAGAAGGCATGGCTCAATCTAGTAATTCTATTACTTGTAAATAAACCAAGAGAGAAATATTATTTTTATAAAAATGTGAAAGACAAAGAAAACCTAAATGCTCAACAATATTAATTTATGGATAACACCACCACTATGGAAAAATACATAGCTATTGAAAATGACAAGTAAACTACAGGTAACAATGTAAGTAAGAAAAGTAAAACTCATAATACTATGTAAATACCATTTATAGATCTATAAAAACACATATATAAATTAATGAAATTCTTTATAGTTATCAAAAATAATGACGTAGACCAGGTGCAGTGGCTCACGTCTGTAATCCCAGCACTTTGGGAGGCCAAGGCGGACAGATCACCTGAGATCAGGAGTTCAACTCCAGCCTGCCAATATGGTAAAATCCCATCTCTACTAAAAATACATAAAAATTAGCTGGGTGTGTTGGCAGGCACCTGTAATTCCATCTGCTCAGGAGGCTGAGGCAGGAGAATCGCTTGATCCTGGGAGGCAGAGGTTGCAGTGAGCCGACGCTGCATCACTACACTCCAGCCTGGGTAACAGAGCTAGACTCCGTCTCAAAAAAAATAAAAATGATGTAGATTTATGCTTTTAGAAATGACAACATAGGCAAGGCATGCTGGCTCATGCCTATAATCCCAGCACTTTGGGAAGCCAAGGTGGGAGGATCACTTGTATCCAGGAGTTAGACACCAGCCTAGGCAACATAGTAAAATTCCATCTCAAAAAAAAAGTATGTGATGCTATGTAAAAAAAAAAAAAAAAAAAAAAAAAAAAATCAGCTGGGCATGGTGCATGCCTGTAGTTCCAGCTACTGTGAAACTTAGGCAGGAGAACTGCTTGAACCCAGGAGGTCAAGGTTGCACAGAGCCAAGATCACATCACTGCACTCAGTAGGAGTGACAGAGTCAGATCTTGTCTCAAAAAATATATATAAAAAGTAAAATTTAATTTAAAAAATTTGGCTAGGTGCAGTGGCTCACACCTGTAATCCCAGCACTCTGGGAGGCCGAGGCGAGTGGATCACGAGATCAGGAGATCGAGACGAGCCTGACCAACATGGTGAAACCCCGTCTCTACTAAAAATACAAAAATTATCTGGGCATGGTGGCACATGCCTGTAATCCCTCTATTCAGGAGGCTAAGGGAGGAGAATTGCCTGAACCTGGGAGGCGGAGGTTACAGTGAGCCAAGATTGTGCCATTGCACTCCAGCCTGGGCAACAGAGTGAGACTTCGTCTCAAAAAAAAAAAAAAAAAAAATTAAACAATATGTGGAAATATTAACAAAATGTGGAAAGTTAATAACAGAAAAAAAAGTATGTGATGCTATGTAAAAATTCCATATCTATTCTTCTATCTACAGAGAAATATCAAGAAATATGTTCACCAAAATATAAATAAAGGTTATCTCAGGATTACATTAATTGGGGATGCTTTTTACAAGTAAAAATTATGAAGCTATTTTCATTTTGAGAAAGCAAAAAAGCAGAAATGTGTAATAGCAAAAATTAGAAGAGAATTTTCTGAGTTTTCAGTGTTCTCTCTCTCTCTTACACACACACGCACTCTCTTACGCTGACAACCCTAACATCACTAGATAGCTAGAGTGAAAGACTATTTGTGAGAATTGGTGCTACTGGGTAGCAGGTCCTAACCTCTCTCACCAGCTCAAGTCTTATGTCACTTAAGACACACCGCAAAGCAAAAGTACCACAGAACGGTTTCCTCCTAGAATCTCATCATTCTAGCACAGGGGTCACAGACTTTTTCTGTAAAGGGTCAGACAGCTAAAAGTTTTAGGCTTTGTAGGCCATCTGTTCAGAACTACTCACCTCTGTCATTCCTCTACCAAAGTAGCTATAAATACTACTTAAACAAATGAGTATGGCTATGTTCCAAAAAGACCTTTATTTATAAAAAATGAAATTAGAATTTCACATAATTTTCACATCACTAAATATTCATTTCAAAAATTCTTTCCAATCATTTAAAAATGTAAAAACCAAAAATTTTTTTAAAAGTTGAACAGTTATCATATACTCACAAAATTAAACAGTTATCATATACACAAAGTTAAACAGTTATCATATACCCCATTGCTAGACATAAACACAGGAGAACTGAAAGCAAATATATAACAATTTGTATATAAACATTCATAACAGCATTATTTATAACATCCAAAAAGTAGAAATGTGGTAGTCCATTTTCTGTTGCTTATAACAGAATACCTGAAACTGGGTAATTTGTTTTTAAAACACTATTTCTTACTGTTATGGAGGCTGAGAAGTCCCAGGTTTGAGGGGCTGTGTGTGGTGAGAGCCTTCTTGCTGGTAAGGACTCAGCTGAGTATCCAGGTGACACAGGGCATCACATAGTGAGGGTGCTAAGCATGCTAGCTCAGGTCTCTCTTCCTCCTCTTATAAAACCACCAGTCTCACCCCCATGATAACCCATTAATCCTTTAATCCATGAATAGATCAACCCATTCATAATGGTAGAGCTCTCATTACCCAATCCATATGAAAGAATATTATTCAGGTACAAAAAGGAATTCAGATCTGATACATGCTATAATATGGCTGAACCCTGAAAACATTATGCTAAGTAAAAGAAACCAGACATAAAAAGCCACATATTGTAGACTTCTATTCATATGAAATGTCTAGAATAACAAAATCAATAGAATTACTGGTGGTCAGGGCCTGGAGGAGGAAGGAACGGGAAATGATTGCTAATAAATATAAAAATTCTTTTTGGAGTAAAGAAAATGTTCTGGAATTAGTGGTGATGGCTGCCCAATCTTATGAACATACTAAAACCAATGAAGTGTACATTTGAAAATGGGGAATTGTATGATATATAATTTCGATAACAATAAAAAATGTGGAAACCATTCCTAGTTTGCAGGCCATACAGCTATGAACTACAAGCTGGATTTAGCTGGGGACTATAGTTTACCCACCCTGTTCTAGCATCTAACAAGGAAAATACTTTTCGGTTTTACACACACACACACACACACACACACACACACACACACACACACTCCCTCTCTCTCTCTGCAAATTAGAACACAGCCAAAGGCCAAAACTTGAAATCAGCTAAGCCAGAACTGAAAAAAAAGGCATGTGTTATATAGACTTACAGGTATTGAAGTTATATGTTATTTTAAAACAGCTCGTAAGTACAGTCCCCATTTTGTCAGGCCAAGTTTATTTTAAAATTAAGCTAATTTAGAAATGTATTTATTGGCACATTACCTGGAGGAACTAGCTGTATTAATTCAAACCTGGTTAGGAAGCCTAAAAAGGAAAAAACGAGATGTTAATACTTCCAAAAATTGCCGCGTTTTTCAATAATTATTAAGTTTTAAACTGTCATAAAATCCATTTAATAGTAACAATAATAAAACAGTAATTGAAAATAACTGCCATATCAACATCAAATCAGGTATTTCTAGATTTAATCAATCAAGATCAGGAGAATGGAATGAGAGTAACAGTTATAAAAATAGCATTTCGGGCCAGGTGCGGTGGCTCATGCCTGTATCCCAGCACTTTGGGAGGCCAAAGCGGGTGGATCACTAGGTCAGGAGATCAAGACCATCCTGGCTTACATGGTGAAACCCCATCTCTACTAACAATACAAAAAATTAGCCGGGCATGGTGGCACGTGCCTGTAGTCCCAGCTACTTGGGGGGCTGAAGCAGAAGAATCACTTGAACCTGGAAGGTAGAGGTTGCAGTGAGCCAAGATCACAGCTACTGAACTTCAACTTGGGCAACAGAGTGAGACTTCATCTCAAAAAAATAATAATAATAACAGTTTACAAGCCATAAAAAAGAACAAGATCATGTCTTTTGAAGGATCTGGAGGCCATCAAACTAATGCAGAAACAGAAAACCAAATACAGCATATTCTCACTTATAAGTAGGAGTTAAATGATGAGAATTCATGGACACACAGAAAGGAGCAATACACACTGGGGCCTACCCGAGGGTGGAGGGTGGGAGAAGAAAGACTATCAGAAAAAATAACTATTAGATACTAGACTTAATACCTGAATGACAATCTGTACAACAAACTCCCATGACACGAGTTCACCTATATAACAAACCTGCACATATACCCCTAAACCTAAAAGTTTAAAAAACAAACAAACAAAAAAAAACAAACAGCATTTCACCTCCTGAAAAGTTTTGGTAAAAAAAAACATGCAATATTTTGTCTCCTAAAAGTGTATACAATAAATAAATAAGTGTATACATAGAACTTTAAAATAACAATGCACTTTTCATCTTAAAAATTCAAAATCCACTTGTTATCCATTAACATACAAAAGTTTATCTTGCTTAAAAGTGCGCGACATGGCTATAAAAATTAGATATAAAATACAACTTTTTAAACTTCTTGAGTTCAAAATATATTTAGAAATAGTGAGCCTGAGGAGAATGCTGGGAAGATGGCCGCCTAAGAACAGCTCAGGACTTTAGCTCCCAGTGAAAGTGCAGAGGGTGAGTGGATGCCGCATTTCCAGACGAACTCTTATTGCCCACAGACCAGGAGATACCCAGGCAGAGGGGTCGCCAGCGTCGCAATCCCAGCCGGTGCGGCTGTTTTGGCCCCCGCGGGGCTGATTCCGCACGCGCAGCTGCTGTGACCACTCCCTGTTGCTGCGGTTCTCCGTACAAAAGCCAATGGTCCGGGAGCCCTCTTAGCTGGCGAGCAGAGCCCTGAGACGGCAGAATAGCCCATTCATCTGAAATAGCGAGTCAGGCCAGGAGATTCCTAGGCAAAAAATCCGCCAGGAGCCGGCGCCACAGTTCGAGCCGACTTCGTGAGTCGCAGCACGGGAGATCCCAGCGCCTTTTCAACAAGCGACCAGAACGCGGGGTCTTCAACTTAAAAGAAAAGACTCTGAGTCAGGGAGCCAGGTGATCAGGCTCGGTTGGTCCCACCCCTCCACCCCCAACAACAACGAAAACAAAAACAGTAATTGAAAACCCTCTGGGTTGAGCCCTTCAAACCAAGCACAGCTGAACGGGGACGGTCCGGCTCCGTGGGGGAGGGGCTTCCGCCATTACTGAGACTCTCCACCACTACGGAGGCAGGCTGCCGTTGCCGAGGCAACCCGCCGTTGCCGAGACAACCTGCCACAACAGAGAGAGTCCACCATAACAGAGGCGGGGCCACCATTGCCCAGACAGTTCTAACTACGCCCATATAAAAAGGACTACAGGGAAGAGCTCAGGGCAGCTGGGCGGAGCCCACAGCAGCACAGCAAAGCCCCTGCCGGCAGGCAGAGGCTAGGCCTGCTGCTAGCTGGGCGGGTCCGACCTGAAAGAAAAATCAAAAAAGGCAGTAGTGCAATGGAAACTCATAAAGCTCCAACTCCCTGGGACAGAGACAGACAACAGGTGGATAAACCCACAAAAATGGGAAGAAACCAGCGCAAAAAGGATGAAAACTCCCGAAACCAGAACACCTCTCCTCCTAAAAGGGATCACAACTCCTCACCAGCAAGGGAACCAGACTGGATGGAGAAGGAGGGTGATGAAATGACAGAATCAGACTTCAGAAGGTGGGTAGTAAGAAACTACAATGAGCTAAAAGAACATGTTCTAACCCATCGCAAAGAAAATAGGAACCTTGAAAAAAGATTGGACGAACTGCTGACGAGAATGGACAGCATAGAGAGGAGTATAAGTGAATTGATGGAGCTGAAAAACGCAACACGAGAACTTCGTGAAGCATGCACAAGCTTCAACAGCCGAATTGACCAAGCAGAAGAAAGGATATCAGAGGTCGAAGATCAACTCAATGAAATAAAAAGAGAAGGCAAGAACAGAGAAAAAAGCGCAAAAAGGAATGAACAAAATCTTCAAGAAATGTGGGACTATGTGAAAAGACCTAATCTACGTCTGATAGGTGTACCTGAATGTGATGAAGAGAATGAATCCAAGCTGGAAAATACTCTTCAGGATATTATCCAGGAAAACTTCCCCAACCTAGCAAGGCAGACCAATATTCAAATCCAGGAAATACAGAGAACACCACAAAGATATTCCTCAAGAAGAGCAACCCCAAGGCACATAATCGTCAGATTCACCAGGGTTGAAATGAAAGAGAAAATGCTAAGGGCAGCCAGAGAGAAAGGTCGGGTTACCCACAAAGGGAAGCCCATTAGACTCACAGCAGATCTCTCAGCAGAAACCCTACAAGCCAGAAGAGATTGGGGGCCAATATTCAACATCCTTAAAGAAAAGAACTTTCAACCCAGAATCTCCTATCCAGCCAAACTAAGCTTCATAAGTGAAGGAAAAATAAAATCCTTTGTGAACAAGCAAGCACTCAGAGATTTCATCACCACCAAACCTGCTCTACAAGAACTCCTGAAAGAGGCTCTACACATATAAAGGAACAACCAGTACCAGCCACTCCAAAAACACACCAAATGGTAAAAAAGCACCAACACAATCAAGAATCTGCATCAACTAACCAACAAAACAGCCAGGTAGCATCAAAATGACAGCATCAAATTCACACATAACAATACTATCCCTAAATGTCAATGGACTAAATGCCCCAGTCAAAAGACACAGACTGGCAAATTGGATAAAAAGCCAAAACCCATCAGTGTGCTGTATCCAGGAAACCCATCTTACATGCAAGGATACACAAAGGCTCAAAATAAAGGGATGGAGGAAGATCTACCAAGCAAATGGAGAGCAAAAAAAGGCAGGAGTTGCAATTCTCATCTCTGATAAAATAGACTTTAAAGCAACAAAGATCAAAAGAGACAAAGAAGGACATTACATAATGGTAAAATGATCACTGCAACAAGAAGAGCTAACGATCCTAAATATATACACACCCAATACAGGAGCACCCAGATACATAAGGCAAGTTCTTAATGACTTACAAAGAGACTTAGACTCCCACACAATAATAGTGGGAGACTTTAACACCCATTGTCAATATTAGACAGATCAACCAGACAGAAAATCAACAAGGATATTCAGGACCTGAATACGGACCTGGATCAAGCAAACCTAATAGACATTTACAGAACTCTCCACCCCAAATCCACAGAATATACATTCTTCTCAGCACCACATCACACCTACTCTAAAATTGACCACATAATTGGCAATAAATCACTCCTCAGCAAATGCAAAAGAACAGAAATCATAACAAACAGTCTCTCAGACCACAGTGCAATCGAGTTAGAACTCAGAATGCAGAAACTAACTCAGAACCACACAGCTTCATGGAAACTGAACAACTTGCTCTTGAATGTTGACTGGATAAACAATGAAATGAAGGCAGAAATAAAGATGTTCTTCGAAACCAATGAGAACAAAGACACAACATACCAGAATCTCTGGGACACATTTAAAGCAGTCTCTAGAGGAAAATATATAGCAATGAGTGCCCACATGAGAAGAAAGGAGAGATCTAAAATTGACACCCTATCATCAAAATTGAAAGAGCTAGAGGAGCAAGATCAAAAAAACTCAAAACCTAGCAGAAGACAGGAAATAACTAAGATCAGAGCAGAACTGAAGGAAATAGAGACACAAAAAACTCTTCAAAAAATCAATAAATCCAGGAGCTGGTTTTTTGAAAAGATCAATAAAATAGACAGACCACTAGCCAGATTAATAAAAAAAGAAAAGAGAGAATAACCAAATTGATGCAATAAAAAACGATAAAGGGGATATCACCACAGATTCCACAGAAATCCAAACCATCATCAGAGATTATTACAAACAACTCTATGCACATAAACTAGTAAACCTGGAAGAAATGGATAAATTCCTGGACACCTGCAACCTCCCAAGCCTAAACCTGGAAGAAGCCGAAACCCTGAATAGACCAATAACATGGTCTGAAGTCGAGGCAGCAATAAAGAGCCTACCACCCAAAAAAAGCCCAGGTCCAGATGGGTTCACAGCTGAATTCTACCAGACATACAAGGAGGAGCTGATACCATTCCTTCTGAAACTATTCCAGACAATCCAAAAAGAGGGAATCCTTCCCAAATCATTTTACGAGACAAACATCATCCTGATACCAAAACCCGGCAGAGACTCAACAAGAAAAGAAAATTTCAGGCCAATATCCATGATGAACATAGATGCAAAAATCTTCAATAAAATACTGGCAAACCGATTGCAACAGCATATCAAAAAGCTCATCCACCATGATCAAGTAGGATTCATCCCGGGGATGCAAGGCTGGTTCAACATACGCAAGTCCATAAACGTAATTCACCACATAAACAGAACCAAAGACAAAAA